AAGCCTGATGGGTCCTATTGCCTGGTACAGGACTTTAGAGTGATTAACAGTGTTGGTACCCTGACTCACCCAGTGGTACCAAGTCCCTATACCATGTTCTGTCATATCCCTCCCTCCACCACTCACTTTACAGTTATAGATCTTAAAGATGCCTTCCCATATGTTAGCCATACACCATTCAGCCAGTCTTCTTAATTTCCTTGCTAATTATGGATACAGGGTCTCTCCTGCTAAAGCCCAGATAGCCTCCCCCAAGTCAAATACCTAGGTCTCGCTCTCACCCCCACCACTCGCTCAGATCATAAGGCAATTCTTCATGATCTCCAGGTGCCTACAACTAAACAGCAGGTTACATCTTTCCTAGGTTTAGCTCATTTCTTTCATCTCTGGATTCCTAACTTTGCATCCCTAGCTCAACCCCTCTACAAAGCCGCTAAGGGTCCCTTATCAGAACCCCTGGACCCTACTAGGCCCATACATGCCTCCTTTCAAAAATTAAAAGAGGTTCTCCTAAAGGCTCCAGCTCTTACCCTTCCTGATCCCACCCAACCCTTCATCCTATACACTACTTGCCATGGCCACAATGCTATAGGTATATTGGGACACAAAAAAGGACCTTCTTTTCAAGCAGTAGCTTACTTGTCAAAACAGATCACACAGTAAAAGGATGGGTTCTTTGTCTCTGAGCTCTTGTAGCTGCAGCCCTCCTGACACAGGAAGCTAAAAAGTTTACATTAGGGCAATCTATTACAGTACACTCACCTCATCATCTACATGACCTTATCTCACATAAGGTGCTCCCTGCCCTAATGGCCCTTTCTCACCTTCAACAGATACACTTAGCTCTCTCTCAAGACCCTTGCATCTCTATTACAACTAGTGGTCCTCTTAATGTGGCAACCTTACTTCCCACCTCAGAGAGCCATCCTCACCATGACTGTATTGAGTTTTTACAGATGACTCCCACCCCTTTCCCTCACATCAGTAGCACACTTCTCTCCTTGGCCTTTGACACATGGTTCATAGATGGCAGTTCAAAAGACACAAACAACCAAAAGAAGGCAGGATACACAATAGTTAACTAGTCAAAAGTTATAGAAGCAAATCCACTGCCACCTGGCACCTCGCCACAGAAAGCAGAACTTATTGCCCTTATAGGGCTCTTACACTAGCAAAAGACAAGATTATAAATATATACACTGACTCAAAGTATACATTTAGCATTTTACACTCTCATACCTCTATCTGGCAAGAACGGGTTTTATTACCACTCAGGGAGCCCCCATCATTAATGCTCCCTTTATCCTTAAACTTCTCGAGGCAGCCCAACCTCCTAAGCAGGCAGCAGTTACTCATTGTAGAGGACACCAAAACTCTACAGATCCTATTGCTCAAGGCAATGCCTTTGCAGATTCACAAGCCAAGTTAGCTGCACAAGGGCCTTGCCATTCTCATCTTCTCTCATTAGTCCCAAACAGTCTACCTCAGCCCAATTATTCACCAGAGCAGTTACAGCTACTTCATAAACTGGTTACACACAAAACACTCAGAGATGGATTTTTCAGGGATCTAAACTTGTTCTCCCACAGCAACAGGCCTCAGACATCATCACTGACTTACACAACTGTTTTCATATAGGATCACAGGCCCTATACAAACTCTTAGCCCCAGTAGTCACACACCCTTCTCTAAAAGCTATCATTCTTAAGATTACTCACACCTGTGATCTCTGTGCCAAGACCTCTCCTCAGGGACGCATGGCACCCCCTTCCTTTCCTACCCATTAGTTTTGGGGACACACCCCTGGTCAGGACTGGCAGATAGATTTTACACACATGCCCTGCCACAAGACTCTCAAATATCTTCTCATCTTTGTTTGTACCTTTTCAGGATGGATAGAAGCCTTTCCCACAACCAGGGAAACTGCTGATGTAGTTACCAAAGTCATATTACAAGAAATCATCCCAAGGTTTGGTCTACCGCAGAGTATTTAGTCAGATAATGGTCCCGTCTTTATTTCTCAGATCACTAAACAGGTATCCTCAAGCTTACATATCACCTGGCACCTACACATCCCATACCATCCACAATCCTCAGGAAAAGTAGAAAAGGCAAATGGTCTCATAAAGACACACCTTACTCTGCTTTTACTGAGTCCATTCGATACGTTGAAAATTTGATTATTCTAATATTTCCACTTGCTTTTTATAATATCTGTTTCATAATATTTATATAGGATTTTTTGTAATTTCTTATTTGAGCATTTTATTACATAATTCCAAGCTTGATGTCATCTAAGCCTGAATATCTGTTGATAGATTTTTTTCTTCAAGTTGAAATTTCTGCAGTACTTTGTCAACTAATTTTGGATTGTAACTTGGAAATTTTGAATTTTATACATAGTCTTATTTAAGTTCTATGGAGAAGTCGGGCTTTTAGTTGTAGTAGGCAGTCAGCCTGGATCAGGATACAATTACTGGTCTATCTTCTGTGAGCTATGGTTCCAAAATCAGTTCAGTTTTCATAGACTGTATGTCTCTTTGGGTCTACCTTGGATGTGTGCCACTCAGCCTGAAAATTAGGAAGTATTCTGTTGGATAGTGTGGTCCTTTCCATCTTTGCTCTACTTCCTGATTCTCTTTGTCCTTTGGTCTTTTGGCTAGAAACTTGGAGTTCTAGTTACTATGCTCTGTTGCATGCTATTTCAGATCTCTGTGGTTGGTCTATATTCTGGCCCATGTCAGTAATGTGGTCTATCCTTTTGGAACTACAGTTTACCAATCAGAAAGTTTCCTTTCTTAAAAGTTGAAGCTTCTATAGATTTACATGGCTGCTGGCCATCATGAAGGGATTGCCTGGGGAAAGTCTTTGCAACCAATAGGAAGCCTTTGCTCCAATGAGTATACAAATGTGTTGACTTTATCTGTTGATGTCCAGAAGCCAGTGTGGCCTGTGTATTAATTACTGCTCAAGGGGAAGTAGTATTATGCATACAGGACAGATAAGCCTAATAGAGGTGAACAACATTACAACCTAGCTTACTACCTAGGGTGGAAAACCAATTGTGCTTAACACACAGTTCTTGTTTTACTTATAATTTTACAAGTGATTATTACATTTCGAAAAGTCAAAAACGGCGTGTTGTAATTACTTTGAGACAAACCAGTGCTTGTACGTGAACTTGAATTTGCGTTTAAAATGCTATGCTTTTAAAATATTTGTATCAAAATTCAGTAAGAAATTTTAAGAAGTCTTTTGTTTGGTTTTATTTTCAATTTTTTAGCTTTAGCACTGGCTGGCTTACAAAAAGAGTATAATTCACCTTTAACAATCCACACAGAAATATTTTTCAAAATGGCTTTAAACTTACTAAAAATGAGTTTGTTTTCAGTAAATATTTTTTGCCTACTATTCCAGCCTATATGCATTCAATTTTCATCACATCAGTGCTCTTGGAAATAGGAATTTAGCAAATAAAGTAGAAATGTACATTTGAATGTTATAACATGTGCCAAGCCTGGGAGTTAGATTTTTTTTTTTTTTTTTTTAAGCTTAGAAGTAGGCTAAATGAGCTAACAAAGTGCTTGAATGAGCTAGGATCTGGATAAAGTGCTATTTCTTGCTTCCTTCATTTAGGTAGGAAGAAAACAGTTAAGTTGCTGTCGTGCTGTTTACATCTTCTGAATCTCTTGAATTTGTTTACTCCTCCGTTTTTGCTCTTTCTCTGGTTTAGATTCACAAAAATTGCTAATTGAGCTATCAAAGCAAATGAATAGCTGTAGAGAAAGGCATTAAGACTTGAGAGTTTTTCAGAGGAAGTTGTTCTTGGTAGACATTAAAGACCCCCTCAAGATCCTAGAGCTGGATGACTAAAAATGGATACTAAGAAGCTTAGGGTGAATTATTGGTACATTAAACAACTTGCCTAAAACCTGTGTGTAAACAGAGGAGCTGCTCTGAAAGTTTGCAGGCCACTGTGGACTGATTGAATAAGAAGCAGGAAATGCAAGGAGTCCCTGGCAGTTGCTGTAAAACTAACAAGTCAAAGTGCGGCATACAGCAGGGCCTGAAAAGGGCAGTCAGGAAGCCAAGTAAGCAAGTGCTTAAACGGCCTGGACAAAAATCAGATTCAGCAGAAATTCCTCCCTGCCAGGCCAGAATTCTTTTTGGGTGGGTGGGTGGTGGATGTGGACCTGAAGTGGAAGTGACATAAAGCTAGATATAGACTAGAGGGGAAGCAGGCAGTTACAAATGTGGTTCTGTTTGCAGCCATCAGTGAGGCTCTGGAATAGAGCAGTGGGTGAGTTCAATGAAGGAAGGGAGACTTAGTAATGAGATTCTAGCAGACATGTGGATAAAGCCTCCTTCCCCCAGCTTTTTGAAACAGGGTCTTGTGCAACCCAGGCTGGTCTCAAACTTGTGATCCTCCTGCCTCAGCTTCCTAAGTGCTGGGATTATCAATGTATATAACCATGCCTCACTTAGAAAAAACCCTTATAGTGTGACTAAGAGTTATAGTAGAGTCTGCTTTGATAAGAAAGAATTATCTTTGAGGTGGTGTGAGTGGGCCACGGATTTTGTGAAAGCAGTTATTTTAAAAAGGAATTTTTCTGACTAGAAGGAACTTTTCGAAGGGGAACAGATGCTTAGTTCAAATGCTTTAATCTTTATGTCATGTAAGAAAAGATCACATAGAGTGAAAGGGTAAAAGAACAATCTGAAGTTAGCACACATCCTGGAAATACTTTGGGACGTGGTTATGAGATGAAGTGATGAATAAAAGCCACGAAAGGGTCTGCTCGGTGTAGACATTTCCAGCTTCTAACCGCTCTTCTCTCATGAGTCATGTTTCCTATCTCTGAGAATCATTCTGTTGCTTTCATTCCTTAGTATTACTAGAATCGTTCTTACCAATTAGTCCTCTTGTGCCTCTCTAGTCTATTCTAGTAACTTCAAGTATTCTTTTCCATTCAGCAAGTGATAGACACAACTAAGGCAAATATTTTAAAAAAAACTTTATTAAAAAGAATTTTGTACAGTTGCTCATGATTCTTTTAAAATACATTTGAAGGCAAAATACATATGTGAATGTGTGCAAGTAGAAAAGATGAAACACCCAGATTTTTTGTATTTGGGCAAATCATAAGCAGCTACATTAGCCTGTTCTAACCAAATGAGTAGTGTCTCCATTGTGACATCCCCATTTACTCTTACACATTTTTAGAAATGTTTTGATGCTATCAAAACAAACCCAAGGAATCAAACCCAAACCCATACCTGACTGTACGTTTAAAAACCACTAAAAGTAGGGAGGTAAAGTGTTGTACATACTAAGGGATGTATCTGGCATTTTCCCATTCAGAATATTTCTACTATTAAACACGCATTGTGTTTATTTATCAAACTAGAGACAGCTGGGGGAAAATTCACAAGTGGGAAAAATATCACTGAAGTAGTTGCTGTTAGAGAAGCATTGAAATTACTTAACAGACTTTAAAGTGGAAGTTTTACCATGCAAGAAACAAAAGAAAATTTGAGTGAATAGTGGAATGTCCTACTAAAATTTAATATTTGGAGAAGAATAAGACCAAAAAAAGTATTCTAATAATATTGACATCATTTAATATAGTGTTATAGAAGCACCTTCAAGAAATACCCCTGAAAGGGTTTTGATGATAATATAGCAGATTATATAGGGATAACATAGCAGATTATATAGGTACTTAAAGTACTATGAATATGACAATTTTCCAGAAAAACTAAGGAGACAATGTAACTCTTGATTTGGTTATACAAAATACAAAAATTCAAGTTACCTAGGTTGCAAACACCCAATTCTGCCAAATTCCTGTCCAACAATATGCAAACCAGCAAACATTTGCATTCTTCACTGTTTATATATTAGAAAGAATGAGCAGCTCACAAAGGATACTTGAAAAAAAAAATAGCCAAATGTACTACTTGTGCAAAAATGCCAAAGAAATTCTGAGGTGTTTTCTGAAATAAGTAAATTACTGGTTTTTCTCCCTTACTTGTATCTACTACTATCTATAGTAATGAAACAGTGAACATGTCATGGTAAATTCATGCTCCATTTGGGGCTAATGGAATGTACAAGACCAATATAGTCTCCTTTATATCATGATCGAAATTACAAATACTAAATTTTCAAAGCTGTTGTGCAACTATGATATATATTTTTATTTATGAAATAAATGTTTGGAAAAGATAGATATAAAGTATAATCTAAATCAAATCCTAATCTTTTTCCTGCAGCACAAAATCATGCGTCCCTCTTGGAAGACAGTTCTCTATTGGTGTTGTTAGTGTCTGAGACATGTGTTCACTTCTTCATGCTGCCATGGGCACCGTCTTGGGAGCCGGTCACTTAGGCAGTTACTCTTGAGTGCTAACAAAACTGCACATTTTCAAAATGGTTTTAAAAGCGCACAAGGAGTTCTGATTAGTTTTTTTACTCTGCATGGTTTTAGATCAATGGCAAAGATGAGAAATATGCCTAAGAATGCAAAGAAAAATGAAGTGAGTCTAAATAGGTTATAACAACTGTTGAACCTGTACCATCTTTTGCTAACTGTTCAGTTTTCTAGCAGAGAGTGCTTAGAATTAAAGCTTTTTTTTTTTTAAAATTTGGTGGTACTGGGGATTGAACCCAGAGCCCTGTGCATACTAGGGCAATGCTCCACTGAGTTAGCTGAATGACATACGTAACAGTCATCAGGAAAGGTACTGGATTTGAGTGACTGTTTTATCTGTGGCTCACTCTGTCAGGAATATCATTTCAGTCTCTTGGCACAGCTTACTGATCGAACAAAGGAGTAAGAATTCCTCCTCCTGTATGATGTTACAAGAATCAGAAAATATATTCAGAAATATTGTCAATCATAAAAGCATTCAAAATTTTTCTTAATACATATGTGAAGATTAAGAGTGGTAATGTGAGAAAGGCCATAACATGCACTTAGTACAGGTTATTCCCTTTATTTGCTATGTGTATAATTCAAAGTCAGAAAATGGGTAATCATAAACCAAAGATGCACTAATGAAATGGGTTCCATCTATTTAGCTATTAAATAGCTTGTACTTTTCTATCAAGTTACTTGACAGAAGTTTTCATTGTCTTTGAATTTGATTATATTTTATGGTAAAGGTCTGAAACCTCAAGGCTTCTAAAGGAAATCATATCTTGAAACAGTCCTCCACTGATACAACTTGTAATGAATGTTTCCCAAGGTTTTCATAAAAAGGAAAAAAGTCTGAAGAGTTGAAAATAGCATGTGGGATTCTGATAAAACTTCAAACCTTATCCTATTGAATTAAGATTCATTCAATAGAATATTTAGTGCCTATTTTTGCACAGATTTGAGAATCTGAAGAGTAAGAAAGCTTTACAATGATTTAAAAAAAAAAAGTGGCAAGACTGAAATGATAGGAGGACCTGAATTAACCTGGTTTCTAAAAAGTATCACCTTGTAGACAAAAAAAAAAAAAAAGTTAAGGAAACTAAGCAGTGCTTATGAGACTTGAATAGTTAACAGAAAAATTCACCCACATGTTAAAATATGTTGTACAAATCAAATATCCTTATTTATCTTTTAAATCAGGAACTGGCTTCACAAGAGTAAAAAAACTTTTTTTTTTTTTTTTTTGTCTTTTTCGTTTTTTATCGGTACCAGGGATCGAACTCATGACTGCCTGCTTGCAAGGCAGACACTTATGCCGCTGAGCTAAACCTCCAGCCCCTAAACTTTTAAAAATTTCAAAAAGTACTAAAGTAAATAGTCTCAACTTCAAAATTAGTTATGAATGCAACAATATCCCATTTATAAAGTGCCTTCGTGTACTAAAAATGGAGGTCATCATGTCCTTTATTTACAAACAATATTTAACCCACATTTATAGAAAAGCAAGTAGTACACTGGGAAAAAAGCACAATAAAGAACTACAGTACTGACTTGGAGTCGTAAAGTCTGAATTTTGGCCTTGGCTTTGCTGCAGACTGATCACCTCTGTGACTTTGAGTAAGCAACAGCTTTTCTGGGCTTCCACTTTTTCATCTGTAAACTGACAGATGTGATCTACTTCAAAGCATGGTCCTTGCTAAGCTGTGTGTGTTAAGCAATGGAATGCTTTTAAATCCCACTGTTCTATGTTTTGTAAAAACTTACTCCACAGCGGATAACTTATTGAAGCAGCATTTTGAGTTAATGATATGAGTGCTTTGGAGAGGTGCATAAAAGTCACAGTATTTGGGTTAATGGTGTCTATGTGCAGGCTTTGGAGAATGCTGAAGCACTGATCTGTCACCACTGTCTTCTGCCTCTGCAGCATGCTAATGGCACTGATGATGACACCAGAAACAGTAATAAATAAATGAGGTACTGTCCTCACACAGATGCATGACGAGTTAGCAAACATGAGCAAGTTGCACATATGTTAAGTCCTGCAACTTGAGTAATACAATGGCCTTTGAAAAATAATAGTGTATTTCTGTTTAAGAAAGTTTACAGTAAACTTCCTCTGAACAATACAAATTTTTCCCTCAAGGGTATTTAAAATATTGGCAAATTTACATTCTGATATACATTTTGTTTTGTAAGAGGTAGCTGAGTATTAGAAACCCTAAATTCTAAATTTACTTATAACCCTATCAGGTGGTGTTTCTCAATGAAATATCTACTTTACTGATACATCTGTGCCAGGAACAGTAAGATAAAATTTCCAGGGAAAAGTAGTTGTTCTTCCTCACTGATTTTTTTTTTTTTCTGTTGTACATGCATGCTAATGCCAACCTGTTAAATAATATAACAAGTGATCTCTTGGTAACAAGTGCAGAATTACTGTTATACCAAACACTGTGCCATGTTAAGGAAAAAAAATCCATGGATTTGCACAGTATGGGAGGAGCAAAATGAAGTGATAACATACTTTGGGGCAAGCTTCACTTGGAATGGAGGACTCAATAAAATGCAGAAATGGGTTTCTAAGATGTACTAGTAAGTTTTTTTTTTTTTTTACACTTTTTTTTTTAATACCGGGGATCAAACACAGGACTGCCTGCTTGCAAGGCAGGTGCTTACGCCACTGAGCTAAATCCCCAGCCCCAATGTACTAATAAGTTTTACAACACATAATAATTATCTCCATATGTAAAATGTCAATATAGTTACACATAATTAGTTTGTAAAGACACACATCCAATATCTCTGCCTTCAGCTAACCTGTTATTTTCTATAATATGCCAAACCCATGGAATAACCCAAAGTTCTATCAGACTTGGTAGTGGTTCAAATTTCCAAATGACTTCCTGTTATGAAAAGGAATACTGGTAAACAGGTCATTTGCTTTTGTACTTTCCCGCTTAAAAGACCTCGACATTTATCCCAATTAAACACAATTCACTGCACAGATTCTTAATTTTATAATGGCCAGGCAGTGAGCAAACAGTTTTGAAATTATCTTCTCAACGTAGACATGATGACAAGTCTGACTTGGAAGTCTTATCTTTCCCCATAAGGCCCTACTCTGTGCTGCATTCTGAAATTATCTCCTTATTTTAAAAAACTACTTTTTACTCATCTATATTCTAATCAGTCATTTTTACCCTAAAAAGGTCTTTTCCTTAACAATTTCAATTTTTTAAACTTGTCTGTTATGATAAAATGAAGCATAATGGGAAACTCTGTATCTAAATCAGTACCTTTTTTCATAAAATACAGAGATACTTAAAAGTGTTCAAGCATTTAACATTTCAAATTGCAATTTTATTTTTCAAATATCTTAAGAACCTAGACTATTTTTTTTTACTTCTGTGGTATCTGTGTTAACTTTAGAAGTTCAAACTCAATCAAATGCTGATACAGGACTCCTAAAAGTAATGGTAGCAGTATTCATGCAAAGTTTAAACAGGAAAATATATGTATGACTTGGCATTTGAAGAATGAAAACACAAAGTAACACTGTCACAACCATTTTTGCCTGCAGTTTACAATTCCTCTTCTGGTCATTAATAAAATGTATAAAGATGGCAAGGACAGCAGTAGAAAAATTAATCACAGACAGAGCTTTTATAGACATATGGAATTTAGCAATACAGATCAAAACAATTTTCTCACTAATGAAAGCATCTGTAAAGTTTTAAAAACACAGTTCACAAAGTAATTTAATTTGATTACTGAATTTGTTTTAAAAAGCAAGATAACACATTCTTTGATGAGCTAAAACAATAAAAAAAACTTTTCATATATCTAAACCTATGCTAAAGTATACAAAATGACAATCTGTATACTAGCAAGAGTCTGATTTTGTACAGATTACAGAGTAGTCATTTAAAAAAAAATACATGACCTGTGATGGTACAACTCTATGCTGGCAAATACATTTCCTGATACAAAGGCACTTTGAAAACCCAATATGGTTTGGTTCATAAGTTTGCAAGGTACAAACAATTTTACAAACATATAATTATACTGAAGAACGTCAACAACCGTGACATTACATATAAACAGATTTCCGTAACTTTTTAATTTTTTTAATAAACACTGGTTTTGTGGGAGTAAAAGCAGTGATTTCTAGCAGCTTCCATGAAGATATTCCAGATGGTTGGAGGCCCACAGTCTAAATTCCTCACTGACAGGGATGAGGGGATGGGGCATTTGGCATGAAACCTCCCTCCCTCCCCCATAAAAGGACAAGCCAACACCCTTGAACAAAACCAGAAACCCCAGAGATCAGAATGAAGAATGGCTTGGGGAGAAGGGCACAAAAGACAAGACCCGAAGTCCAGGAGAGAACCTCTTAGCTGTGACCCCTTCGCTGGGAACTCCCCACAGAGTACTACCTGGTCACTTGGTGCTAAGAATTCTGATGATTTCTCTATTTTAAAGAGCTGAGTACAATGTTTTAGATTGTACAGTACCAGAAGAATTTGGTCCAAAAAGAGTAATTTTATTCACTACATGGCGGCAAAGTCAATCTGTACATAAAGTTGTCTCACTCCAGCCTGAAAAGTTAAAAAAAGAAAAAAAATTACAAAGTCAAGATAGTAATATACGACAGTGGACCCCTGAAATTCAGAGGTTATGTTCCTAGAGCACCCACAAATTGTAACAAACTGCAAATTTCAGATACAGTTAGAAAAATGCCTATAAATACCTATTTTTACAGTTTAAACCTTAAATATGCCACGTCTCCTACAGTTATGTAATTTAACATAATAAAATACTGTATTAATAAAGCCTTAGAAGGTGCAAGACATTTTGGTAGCATCTTAGGATTTAGGAAGAACAAAACCAACAACACTGGTGATAGCTACACGAAGTACTGCAACCTGTCACTATGCTGGAATGTGGTGCATCTTCTGGAGATGTTACAGGGCAGCAGCCAACTAGCAGCAAGAACTGAGTAACACTCTCAGATTGGCTACTTGTGAACCCCCGCAAACAAAACAAAACCCTGCAGAGAATATTTGCAATTTCTGCAAATTTGCAGAAGTTTCTGCAAACCAATATGTTAGGTTCTAAGGAAAAATCCATGAATGTACAAAGGCCATGAATTTTGCACTGTGACTTGTGAAAATAATAATATACACATTTTAGAAAACAGCAGGAGAACATCTTAGAAGTGGAAAGAATTATTTTTCTCTTTGTCTCTGAGGAAGAATTCATTTTACTGTAAATCACCAGAAAATTATTTCACAGAAAAATTAAAAAGCCATGGTATTGGTTGTATGTCCTGTCCAAATGGTATTAGAAAAACAGGGTTCCTCGTCTACTGTTCTGTTAGTTACTATTAAAATCAGGTCACCTCAGTCTTATCCTTCCTTCATAAATGATCAACACATACATTTGGTAAGCACAGCTATCTATTGGCTAATTATTTTGCACTGCATCTCTTTCTTCAGTTTTGGATAGTTACTGAAGAATACTGCTCTCTACATTGTTCCCCAGCTCTCCTGTTTATCAATTTTCCTTAATTGGATCACTTCTATTAGTACAGAAACACATTATAACTTCTTACACCTGAAAAAAAATCCTTAAAAAAGAGCCAAGACATTATGCACAGGTACAAATTCCCTATGATGAATGGGACCATTATGTATACCTGAAATGTACCAACAAACAATTTTTTAAAAATCCTTCCTTAACCTTACATCCCGTCCTGGAACACCGACAATGCCTGCTCTTCTGGACAGCAACAGTCTTCAGAAAAACTGTGTTACTAGCAGTCCACAATTCCTTTTCCCTTCTCTTAAAGCCATTTTAACCAAAATTTACTTCCCTCCACCTCCCTAAAATTGTTTGTCAAGGACACCTCCAAGTTGCTCTTAGAGTACTCAAGTCTCATTTCTCATCTTACTACGTAACCCATCAGCAATAATAATAAAAGATGATGCCTCCCCTGCCACACTCTTCCCACTCTTTCAGAGAATATTCACTGGCTGCCCTTTCTCCCTCTGGTCAACAGTTCTTAGTGTGCTTTGCTAGTCTTCCTTCAATCTTTGAACACTAAACTGAAACACTCAAGCCCTGGTCCTAGGAATGCTTCTTTTTCTGTATTGATCCCTAGATATGTCATCTTGGATCCAGGCCTTAATCTATATGTTCTCACTTCACAAACTGGTATTGCTAGACTGGACATCTGTTTGACAGTTCTGCATAAGATATCTGTCTATCACAACATGGCTAGCCAGAACTGTTTCTGCCTCTCATACCTGTTGATTCTGTAGTCTTTTATAGATCAATTCTATCCTCAATATAGCAACACCTAAACACTTTTCTTTCTCTCACACCCAACATCCAATTCACTCACAAAATCTGTTGGCTTTACTTCCAATATAATGCAAACCCTGAATCTGACCACCTTACATCACCTTCACAGCTACTACCCTGGCTGTATCAATCTCGTCTAGATTTTGTCACAGCCTCTTACCTAGTTTTCATACTTCTGTCTTTTCTTTCCATTGATCTCCTCCCAGAAGAACAACCACAATGACATCACTCTGGTCAGTCAAACACTGCAACAGTTCAACCTCCTTAGCCCTTAGAAATGCAAGGTCCCTATAAGGGCCTACAGAGATCTGCCTCTGATTGACTGTTCACTCTTCCTTCCTTCTGCTTGGACCTGTTTCTCAAGATATTCACATTATCTATGCTCTCTGTTACATCCCTCCTTAGGTGACTGCAAAGCCTATCCTGACAACCTTCTATAAAATACATTCACTTCACTAGTCCAACAAATATGCATTATGCATTTATTGTATCCCAGGCGATGTTCTGTCACACAGCATATAAAAGCAAACAAAACAGAGGAAACATATTCTTGCCCTCATACAGTTTCGTTTCTATTGGAGACCTGGGTGAGAGGAGGAAAGATAATAAATGCATAAGAAAACATAGTATGTCAGGTGATAATATATATGCTAGAAAAAGGCAAAGTTTAGTACAAGAGGTGGCAAATGCCTCCAGCACTCCCAGCCTTATCTTGCTCACCTTAGCAAAAACACTTATCACCTTACAAGTTATTTCGCCATTATTTATTCTTGTGTTCCCACTATACACTACCTTAATCTCCTCAAAGAAAGGACTTTTGTTCTCTTTCTTTGCTCCCAACTCCCAGAACCTCAAGTATGCCTAATATACAATAATCAATATTGATTGAATAAACCAAAATTCTGCTAATTTCCCTCTTTTAACAAAAAATGATTTTCAAAACGAAAAAAATTATTAGGAAAAAAGTCTTTTGTTGTCAATATCTTAAGATAAAAGGCGAACAGCAGCATTTAAAACAAAGGCAAAAAACAGTAGGGGGAATCTATTAACACTGCCTTCTTGCAGTAATTTCTAGCTTTTCAAAACACTGCTTCTCACACGGATGTTTTTCTGGTAGAAGCACTCTCAGGCTAACCTGCCTGAGAGGAGTCAGGATCTGTGTCAGTGGATAAAATGCTAGACAGACCCAAAAAGCTTGTCAGCACAGAAATTATGCTTTAGCAGTTTTGTCTCATTACAAAACAAAACAAGCCTTCCTGTGATAAATCAAAATTACTGTTCAAAAAAGAAGAGGTCTTTACTAGAACCTTCTTTTTACTTAAGGGGCTCGTCACAGAAAAGACAGCTAAATATCTATATGATCATTAGCTAAAACTGAAACCAAATCTCAGTTTTTCTTATTTTAGAAGTATTAATAAGTGTCAACACTCCGTATCTCACAGGGCTGTTACAGTCATCCAGTATCCAGTAAGTATTTTAAAAATTCTTGCTATTACTATAAAGACCATATGTGAATGTATAAGGAAGGATTTCATATGTGATGAAAGCTCTTATAAATTATTCTGATTGATTACAGTTGTATAATTCGACTTAATCAGATAGCCCCTGAAATAATTGTACTTAGGAACTGTTTTTGTAAAATTCTTATATATATAAAATTTTAAGAGAAAACAACTTTTGCCCAAATAAATTGTCTTAATATCTTCTTTCTTTTAGCAAAATGTTTGAGAGTAAAATGGGCAAATCCGTTTATTGTCTCTGTAATTTTCCTTTCCCGTAGCATTAACTCAGTAAAGACAGTAATAAGAAATGAAGTAGCCCAAGGCAATAAAAAAAGAAAAACAAAGAGGCTAGATAAATTATCTTTGCATAATCATGAGTTAATTACTCAAGCTGATATCAATCCCTTGAGGGGCTACAGCTTTTCACCAAAGCTCAACCTAACAACAACAAAAGCCATTTTGCTTCCTCCATCTGTTCCAATGGGGACAGCCCCAAGTTCCCTAGCTTTCCATTTTCCTCTCACAATTTCCTTCAAAGTAGCCAGGAAAGTATAATTTCCAAAGAACCTTATGGTAAAGCACTCACTCTCCAAATGCAAAATAGGCTGTCTATAATTTACTCATACCACAAAGACATGACAGATGTGCTACCAGATGAAAACTGTTTGGTTCCATCAAATATTTTACCACTGGAATGACACCAGTAATCAGAGGCTGGCTGAATCATGGTCCTTAGACTGTGAAAACTTGTTACTTTGAACACTTCTACACTCCTAAAGTAAATGCCAACTTAGTGCCACAGTCCTAGAATATCTTCAACAAATATTCATTGTTGTGGAAAGGAAAACAAAAGAGAAGTAAAAAAGTTAGAAAAGTAAACAGGAATATGACTATAAAGCATTACTGGTTTACTTGCATTCTCTACCTAACAAAAGTCATAGAGATTTTCTACTTTAAATGCCTAAACTATGTATTAATCTTTATTCCTCTCAAATGAACGCTTCAAAAACTGTCTGACACGTAAAACATTTTATTGTTAGCAAAATGGTTGATGGATATGACAAATTCTAAGTCATGAACAGTAACATGGGTTTGCATGTCATTTTCTGTAAACTGTCTTGCAAGGCCCAAATAATATGTTAAGTACCTTTCACAGTGCCTGGCAAGTTGTGGGCTCTTACCATATTCTAGCTTGTTGTTACTATTGCTACTACTGTAACTTCTACCATTACCACCAACCCATGAACAAATAACCACTTGGATTCATTTAAAAATAACTAACCTAGGGAAGTGCTAGCCTTACATCTGTAAGGATCGGCCCGTCTCCTGATGAGGCTGATTTCTGGTGGACTTAAGTACATGGATGAAGAAAGCTAAGGAAAAGATGGATAAGCAAAAGTCTGTAGAGCCTACAAGTAAAATCAGCACTTACAAAAGATTAAAAAGGCTTTACAAGAGGGGAGAAAATGAAAAGAGTGGGGAAAATATGGAAAAGGGTATGTAATGTATGTATGTGTGTGTGTGTATATATATATATATATATATATATATATATATATATATATATATCCCCACTGCAAGTTCTGGGGATAGAACTTGAGGACTTGGGCATGCTGGGCAAATGGTTCTACCTCTGGGCCCTTTTTTCACATATTATTTAACTAAAAGCGATTACTTAAACTATGACTTAGGATCAGCTATAAGAAAGATACCAAGCTAGGGGTGTTGGGGTACTGCTGTAATCCCAGCACTTGGGAGGCTGCAGCACGAGGATTGTGAGTTTGAGGTCAGTGTGGGCTAAACAGCAAGTTCAAGCCTGGGCTGAACAACATAAGACCCTCTCTCAAAAGAAAACAAGGAAGATTATTAATGTAACAAACAAAATGTATAATATTACTGATTGTTAGAACCATCAGTATTTTAAATCTTTCTACAATAAACATATCTAAGGCATTGGTATGATTTCTTCTTAAAAATAGAACAATTTGCATTTTATTTTTTGAGCAGTGAAATTTAAGAATATGGTAGAATTGAAAATTTTTTAAAACTTACGTTTCATGAAATCAAATGAAAATGCTACAAAAGCCTTGATACATGCTCATACAATAAGAAAATGCTTTACTAGGTACAAGCAGAAAAGAAAAACCAATAAAAAAATTTCAATTTTACATATATGAGAACTAAAAAAACTGTAAAATATCTATAGAATCATTAAATATAAACTCAAAGTCATTAGTGGGGTGCCCCAAGGGAAAAATGTGTTGAACTATCCTTTTTGTAAGCCTAATAGGAATCTATGATTTTCTAAAAGGAATGAAATAAACAAAACTGCCATGACTTTGGGTGATAAAAAGGCTTAAAATATTTTTCAAAGCTTATTCAAGCTTAATTGTGGTTTCTAAAACCAAAGAAGCAGCTGAATAAATTTGTGACTTCAACCATCATAAAAGCCAAGATTTCTAAGGTTACAGAGGAACCTCCATCTACCTACTTCAACTATGACTTGGGCAGTTCCTCCGCAGAAGCATCTGCTTGCACACTTCTCAGCCTAGAAACAGCACCGCACTTCAGATAGAAAATGGTGACTCTGCAAACATATTAGGCGAGTCTGGGACAGGAAAGGTGAACCACTTACAGAGGAAGCCCAAGCGGCAACCCAAAACCCACTAATTTATTGCTAAGTGCCAACAATGCAATTAAACCTCAATTCTGAAGTTTAGAAAGAACAACTCGAACATTAAAATCTTTTGTCTTAAAAGAAAAACAAGTAATACCTATATCTTGCCAACACTGCCTGTGGTATTCCAGAGGGCAACAGAAACTCAAATTACTAGGATGGAAGAACATGTTATCATCATGGTAAAGAAGAGAAAAATGATCTGGAAATGGTAATAAATAGGTAATTATTTATCTGCATGTCTACTTACCCCTACAACAGAAAGATGTAGAAGAAGGATTTAGACCTACCTAGGGAGCTCTTATATGCTGCATCAGGAAAGTTACAGTAATACTGGCTTCTACATAGTGTCTGTTAAGAAAGAAACCTAGTTGCCAGAATTCTGGAGTATTCCTGCATGCAGATCTTGATGGCACAGAACATTAGGATTAGAATAACTCCTAATTATACAAAGGATTATTTCATTAATTTACTCAAGGAACTTATTCATACATGTCCCTTTGTTAAACAAAACAGATTACCCTATGCTAATATCTTGAATCTAACTATAAACTATGTTCTGTCATCCACATCTGAAGATTTGATGACTAGAATGGAGGAGGGAGGAAAGCATGGAGGGAGGGGGAGACAGACAGACAAAACAGACGGAAAGGGAGGGAGGCGGGGAGAGAGAGAGACCAACCCGACCCAGACAGAGACCTTTAGGCCTCAAAGAAAAAGAGCACAAATGAATCGGACACTATGTAAACTAGAGCTTTGCCCACACAGAAAAGTGGACAGTCTGATAGTTCACAAGTAATCAAATATATGGCACCAAAAAGCAGAACAATGATCTGGAAACTTAACTGGACTATGCTAGAAAGACTGGACTTTGTCCTGGTTGCAATAAGAAGCCACTACTTTTTTGTTTTTAAGTTATTTTGAAAATTTCTTGAGTCAAAAGAATAGGACAAAAATACTCATCTGTATATACTAACAATTAATATTTTGCTACATTTGTTTTACCTCTATATATACATATTTATAAACTTTATTTTTATTGAAATATTTGTAAATTAATTAAGACATCCTGATATTTTACCACTGAATCATTAACATGAATCACCTAACATTCTTCTGTAAAACACAATTTCATTATCATACTCAGGACAATCAACCTGCCTCAGCCTCCCAAGTGCTGGAATTACAGGCGTGCAAAACCACACCTGGCATGACTATTAAATCACACAGAAGGTAACTATCACAAAAAACTTAACAGTTGATTTTCAGCTAAACCCACCAATGAAGTATTACTCTAATTCCAAAACCTATTTTAGAATTCTTTGCTTCAATCAGCATCTATCATTCTTATACAGGAGGAAGTAAAGGACTAATTTTTCTTGAAAAAAATCAGATCAGTATAATGAGTAAATTTGAACTTAGTTCCGTAAGAATACAGACTAACGTAAAGATCTTTCAAATTTGACAATAGAGGAAAAAAGTAGTGTTGTGCTTTCCTTATAGTTCAGTAGCCTGTGTATTTAGCATAATGAATAATATTTTTAGAAGTAGCTGATTCAATAAATTTTAAGACTCAAAAGAAATCAGTAACAAAATCATACCTGAGTAAATATATTATGTGTTTGGCTTAAAATCCACCTAGCATCAGCATCAGGTGCTACTACTAATTTTACAGTCCCAACATAAACATCAGAACATAAGGTCCAGAAGTGTTGTTCTTGTAAACTGTAAACTCCCTGTAACTCCTGCACCTGGAAAACAAAGGGGAGACATTTTCATCAAAACCAAGTGAAGTGTGAAGTGCCCACTCCTTCAATCATTATGCAACGTATCCATAAACATGTAACCTACCCTCTGGGTAAACATAGGGAGGAGAATATATGAATCGACAGATACCAACAGAATACTCATTTGCCAGGTGACGCTATGACAAGACACAACAGATTTTAAAACCATAAATGGGAATCCTATAAATATTATAGGAGCCCTATGAACAATTCTGAATGCATCAATCAATATATGAATGTACAAAATATTACAACTAGGAAGAATCAATCAATCTCACTGGGACCTCCACTGTGATCAGCCTAATCCAAAAGTAGTCTAATGTATCTCTAGTCTGAGTTATTATGGTAATAACTCATTAACTGTTCTAATTTTAGCTTTGCACCTCTTCCATCTATTTTCAAAAGAGTACCCCAGGGGACAGCCCATTAGTTTGGGTCAGATGCTACCATTCCTCTCATCGCATTCCTCCAATGGATTCTTGTCTTGCCCTGCGTTCAAACACTTTTACAATGATGTGCATGTCATGGGGTCCCTTTTGTTCTTATTTACCTCATCTCTTCCTCTTCTTCCTTTCTTGCCCTTTCATCAGCTCTTCAAGGCTCTTCTCCATTCTTTTAGAAACCAGGCACATTCTCTCAGGGTACTTGCTAGTCCCTCTGCCTAACAAAGTATTCTCTCTATGTTTCTACATAGTTCATCTTTTTGAGTCTTTAAAGTCAACTTCTCGGTAAGCCTTTCTTGTGTCTGGCACATAACACTACACAGCATGCATGCATTACTCATATTACACGTTAAACATCCCTAATCTGAAAAGTGATGGGCTGCAAGTCAGGTGCACCAAAAATACTATAAAAATTACCTTTAGCCTATGTGTACCTATGTGTACAAAGTGTAAGAAACATTAATGAATTGTATTGTTAGACTTTGGCCCCACACTCAAGATCTATTATATAGAGTAAGTATTACAAAATCTAAAAAAATCCACTCCAAAACACCACTCCATTCCAAGGATTTTAGATAAGGGACACTCAACCTGTTCTTAAACTGCTTATTGTCTATTCCAGCAGAATTCAAACCTAGCAAGATCCAGGATTTACTTTGACTTTCAATTTTTAATACCTAAAACATTACCTGACCCAAGTAAGTACGTAATAAATAGCAATATTTATTAAATTAATAACATCATAATTTTGAAAATCTACATTGAATGGATACATTTCTGGAAATACAAGAAGTTCGCTAAGAAAAAGTAAAGAAAATGTGAAAGTGGAAGTAACGTTAAAAACTGAATTGGTCACCAAACTCTTTCCAAGAAATTCTAGGTGTAGGGAAGAAAATTTTTCAAGGCGATATGACTGTTACAATTTTTTTCAGAAAACAACAACTGCTACCTTATATTGACTCTCATAGCAGACAGATAATAAATTATAAGCCAATTTCTCTCATGAATGAAGTAAGTTAAATCCAATAATGTAAGTCATTAGTCATAAAATCTAATTATTAAGTTGGGTTTATCTTAGGAGGGGAAGAATGGTTTAATATCAGAAAATCAGTGATTCCACAGTTAATGAAGTAAAAGAAAACAGACATTTCATTAAATGTATTACAATGATAATAATTTATACTTATGATTAGAAGGATATCCCTTTAACAGTGGTTACCTACTACAAACCTATAGAAAGAATTTAAGAACAAAGTCTTAAAATGAATTCTCTTGAGGATCAGGAAAAAGGTGAAGATGCCCAAACCACTGCTATTGTTCAGCATCTCTTTATACACCTGGAGAAACTGAATTAAAATCAATTCTAAGAAGTTGAAAAGAAAGATCAATATGAAAAGATCTTTATACAATTACAGCAGTATAAAAAAAGAAAGGACTAGAGTGTAGCTCAATGGCCGAAAATGTGCAAGGTCCTGGTTCAACCACTGGCATCAAAAAAGTAGGAAAAAAGGGGAGAAGGGGAAAGAAGGAGCGAGGTATGAAGGGAAGGAGGAAGGGGAAGGCAAGAGGAAGGCAAAAATGATACTCCATGACTGTCACTGGAAAGTTACTGTCACTGGAAATCATTAAGAAGTAGCATGATCAACCATATATAATAGTGGAGATTCTTGCAATAGGTACAAAAGTCTGGACCAAATGAACAGATTTTTTTCAATTTTGAGATTTTTCTGATTTTCATGTAATATACTTGAGAAGTTAACAACACAGTTTGATCTTCAATCTGTCAAAAAATACTTGTTTTTACCAGAATTAGAGAAATGCAGTCATTGTTTTCTATAAATGCTAACAGAGTCGATGGGAAACTTAAGGTAAAAACTGGGAAGCAAGGGCTGGGGATTTAGCTCAGCGGCATAAGCACCTGTGGTCGTGAGTTCAATCCCCCATACCGATTTAAAAAAAACAAACTGGGAAGAGATCAAGGTAGACTTTATTTTCCTTTTTTAGGACTCTGATAATATAATGATTTCTTTATGGCTGTTGTTCTGATAAGACAGTGTTATGCATTGGAAACTGGTGGTCAATTTAACGCCAGTGGAATTAAATCACCATGGTGCTGAGCATAGATGTTTCACCTGAGGAAAGTTGCCAGCATAAATAGAGACATGGAGACAGAGAAGACAGGTGCGTTGAGGCATTAAGAGTTCTCGTACGAGTTGCTGTTTGAGCCGTTAGGTTCTCCTAGAGAAGCTCTGGTCCTCACATCGAGCATTGCTTCCTAGCTCCTGAGGGGAAGACTTGTGCTACTTGGTCTCCAGGATGAACTCATCATGTTGGCTTCCTGGCATGTGCTTGACTGTGCTTATCATCAGAGGAGCTCAGGGCCTCCACATTGCTGAGGATGGCTGTGGTGACTTTCAGAATAGCCCTGGTCTTGTTTTGAACGTGACTTCTTGGGCTCCAGCATAGAATCCTCAACCTATCAGCACAGCTCCTTCACCTTGGTGGTATAGACTTTGTAGCTTCCACCATTGGCCTTTAGGCCTTCCCAGCACGGATCCGTTAAAGAAACCGGTGTGAGTCCTTCTTGTGGGCTCTAGAACTCCAGCTGGACTCATGGGAGGCATTGTCATGAGCTCTGGGTTTTCATCTGGACTCATGTGGGACATTGCTGTGGGATTAAGGCCCTTGGCTAAATATCCTATGTCTTTAGCTTTGTGGATAGATTTCATGCATGTCTTTGTGTTAACTCTGGGTAACCAACATAAAAATAATATTATAAACTCCATGTCTTGATTCTAATTGTTCTCTGTACAATCCCTGACTACAACAGATAGTGATTTATTTTTTGTTGTTTTGAAACAAGGTCTTGCCATGTAGCCCAGATTGGCCTCTGTTTCAGCCTCCTGAGTGCTAGGATTACAGGCCCATCTACCATGTCAGGTGACATAGTAATCTCAACTGATCACCCCTCCACATTTTCCTAAGTGGCATTCTCAAGGAGTGGTCCACTGTTAGTAAAGCAGCTACCTGACGGGAAAAGATTTCCTTTCTCCATAGAAAATTAATACTAATACATGTTTGCAACTATCCTAATATATCCACTAAGGAATAATTCCTATGGGAACTGACTTTTTAATATCCTGCTCCTGCAATGTGATTGCCACAGAAACATTTGGCAGTTATTTGCTTTCTCTTCAACTATGTGATCCTACACTCTTCTATTTTCCAGCTCCCTTACTGACCACTCTCATTCCAGCTTTCCCATTATACTCTAAATCTGAAGATGAAAGCAGAATTAAGTCTGTAACCTCTCCCAAGGTAATCACATGCAAATTTAAAGTTTTATGAGTATTTCAATTGTAACATATCCTGAAGAGAACTCTTGATCTGAGTGCCTCTGTCTTAACTGGCATTACCATCTACCAAAGCGTGAGGTTACACAATGTCAACAAAATCTACTTCCCTTGCTAATATAATCTACTTCTGAAAATATATCCCAAGGGTATATTTATTTCCCACTTCATTGCTCTAACGTAGTTTAGGCCACCAGTTTTCTCGAGCTTTATAATTGATTTTCTCAGTTTTCATTTTCCCTAGAACTTGTTATTTTTTAAAATTAATTAATTTTATTGGTATTCTTTCAATATATATAATGATCACACTCATCACGGGAATTTGTACTTGTATGTAACGTCTTGATTTTTCTTTTCCCTAATCCCCTCACCTTCTTTAACCATTCTTCCTTTTATCTACAAAAGTTTTTTTTTTTCTTTTCCTTTTGCTTTCCCTTCCCTTCCCTTGTATCCCTTGTAAAATTTTCTTCCTACTTTCCCACATCTGTCACTCATTTTGGTCTTTATTTCTGCTTCTGCTTTTACACACAAGAGAAACAATGCAATATTTACACATGTGTGTCTGATTTATTTTTGAAAAAACTGTTTTGACTTACTGGTCATTTAAAAGATGCAAATTAAAACAACACTGAAATTTCATCTCACTTCAAATGCTGGTAAAGCTGTGGGGAAAAAGGAACCCTTCCCAACTATTGGTGCAAGTATAGACTGGTACAACCACAATGCAAATCAGTATGGAGATGCCCGAAAAATTTAAAACTAGACATTCCATATGACCCAGCTGTCCCCTTTCTTATCTTCTTGTAAGTTAAAAGCACCACACCACAGCAATATATATGTACCCATAGTTATAGCAAAACAATCTGTACCAGCTAAATCTTGAAAACAGCCCAGATGAATGGGTAAAAATATTGTAGTTTATAAATATAATGGTGTACTACTCTGCCATAAAGGACAAACTTTGGACACTTTTAGATAAATGGATATACCTTGAGACCACACTTTTAAGCAGAATTCATTCTTTACAAGGAGAAAACAAACTTTTTTTTTTTGTCTTTTTCTTTTTTATTGGTACTGAACTCATGACCACACACTTGCAAGGCAGGTGCTTATGCCACTGAGCTAAATTCCCAGCCTGAGAAAACAATCTTTTAAAAATATAAAAATATAGCTCTGTGCAATGGTGTAAGACTGTAATCAAAGCAGCACTGAGGAGGCTGAGACAGGAGGACTGTCATAAATTTGAGGCAAGCCTGGGCCACATAGTGAGACTTTGCCTCAAAAAGCCAAAAATTAAATGAGAAAGTAAAGTAAGTTAAATTAAAACTAAACTACGTTAAAAGAAATAAAATCATAAGATGTGAGTCAGCTGTGGTGGTATATGTCTATAATCATAGCACTTGGGAGGCTGACGCAAAAGGATCAAGAATCACTATGAATTCAAGGCACACTGAAACTACATGGTGAGACTCTGGCTCAAAAACAAATGAACAAAAACAAAAAAACAGTATGACTTTCTCAATGTCTTAAAGCTTTCTACAGCTTCCCACTAAATTACAGTTAAATCTAAGCCTAACTCTTAACATGACCACACCGATTTGATCTGGCCCCTGCTTCTCTTCAAAATATCAAGCTATCCTGTTCTTCATTATTCTTCGGTCACAATGGCTTTTCTTTCATTCTCCAAATGCACTAAATTAGTTCCAGAGCACGTCTGCATTACAGTTTTCCTTTGCCTGGACCATTCTTCACCCAGATTTGTACATGGCTAGCTTCTTTTCTCATCAAAGTTTCAGTTTCTTTGACTGTGACTTTTTCAGTGAATTTAGGATAGCCATGCAAATCTATCAGAATGCCTGTCTGATGTCTTTGATAATGGTTATCACTGATACTTTCTTACTTAACAACTTACTGTTTTCTGTCTGTTTCTTCACCAGGCTGTCAACTCTGTGAGAACAGAGATATTGTTTCATTTGCCATTACATCCCTAATACACTTGAAAAGTTTCTGCTACATAGTGAGTACTCAAAAAAAATCTGTGTTGAATAAAAAATTATTTAATCTGTTGTAAATATTCTATACTTCAAAAGAATTGCTCAATCTCTAGGATGAGGCAATTTCTGCTAAATTTTCTTTCCTAAGTTCATTATTTTCCAGTGATTTTATTCTGGCTTATATAAATGGCATTCATGGTCAGCATTCAATCCTCGAAGAAATACTAAATTATACACAATGCTACCCATATTTATGAAAGCTGAAAACCCTAACAGTTTGGAAACAGCATATAATGCAATGGTTTGGATGCTTTGAAACTTACCCTCTGATAGCAGTGAGGCAAAGTATTTTCCAACATGGGAGGAGTTCTCTGCATTAATATCCCAACAGACTCTTTTAAAAGAGGAATAACACTAAATAAAGGAAAGGCAAATTTATTAAAAGGATATATTATCTGTAAGACAGTAATAATCGACTTCCCATTAACAAAACAAAGTAAGTCATCAGAATAATATCAAGAATTATCTATCAGAATAATACTGGTCTTTGTTCTAAATTTTTCAAGTGATCAGTAATTTACTATACAAAATAAAAGAGCTAAAGAATATATATCTATAATCTGTATCTATCTATCTATCTATATAGCAATGCATGGAAGACAAAACATAAACTCAATACTAACTAATCAGCTAAACACCTAAAAGACAGCATGATTTCAACCTTCCAAGGTAATCATTAGACGACCACAGTTATAATCATTTATCTGAATAGTAATGATAAAGAAAATACAAAAAATTAATCAGTTCATTAGTCCATATTTCTCAAACTTGGTTACATGTCAGTCATATTTTATTATTTAAAAAAATACAGAAACTCGGCTGTATCCATGGACATAGTGAACCCACAGAGATGTTTCTCTGCAGGTGGGAACCAAAAGTCTGTATGTGCGGATGAGGATGATCTTCAACCAACAGTTGAGACTACTGCTGCAGGCTACTTGGATGACTAAATACACACCAAGCAATGAGGTAGTAATATAATGGTAGAGGGACTCGGATGCGATGACCTTCTCACTTCGCTGGGCCTGTGTACTCATTCCCCTTATGTTTAAAGCCACCTCCTGATGGCATTAAAAACAAAACAAAAACTGATGCTCTCTAATGTTATGTGATTTGCCCAAAGCTATTTAGTGGTAGAACTAGAACAAAAGTGTAATTTTCACTGGAATGTGTTTTCTACCGGAGATGCCTAGACATTATTAGCAGTTCTTTAGGATAAGAATGGACAAGATGTTATTAAAATACTTAAATTTAGGAGGCACACAGAAACATTTTTTAAATTTTTAAGCAATAATGCAGGGGAAACAACTGTTGTACCTTATTTTCAGTAAAGAAGGAAGGAAACTATAAATTTAAATTCCGTATACAATAACATTCTAACAAATCTTTTCTTTTTCCTAATAAATAAAGATGAAGAAAGGAAAGGAAAAAAATATCATAATGAGCAAATTGTACCTTTTTGGTATGTCATCATGTTTTTCATTATTTTTTTTTAAATTCCAAGGAGTTTTCACCTATCTGATAATAACACAGTAGGCAAAAATAGACATCATTCTTCAGTTCAGATGAATGAATAACCCAATATTCTTCCTTTTCAAAATCTTTAACTCCACCTCCAACTGTTTCTGCTCATCTTTTTTTTTTTTTCTTTCTTAACTTTTTCCAGCTTGGCTTTTACTGTTCATAAGATTGTACAGCGGAAGCCCTTAAACATTATTTTTATTGTTTAATCTAGTGGTATTTTCCCAACTTGTAATTTTCTTTATTGTGGTATTTACTGCTGTTAGGAATACCTTTCCCCTTTTTTCTGGAGATTGTATTTACTTTATTGTGTTTGTTATCTTCACTAATACTTTTTCTAGCTGCCAGTAATAATTCGATATATTTCACAAGATTTAGTATTTACCCTGACCTTAAATATACCTTTGAAATTTGTGATTTCGTTATGCCTGATGGAATTAGTTATAAATTCTCTTCCATACACATTTATGTACCAGACACTGAGATGTTAGAGACAGAGACACAAAGAAGACACAACTCAGTCCATACCTTAAAGCAACTTTTGGTATGGGAAGAGAGGAAAACCCCTTGGTCATTCTCATGCAATACAGTAACTTCTTAAGTATAAATTTTTATCGGCACACAGAGTGGACACTGTGTACAGTTTGGAGGATAGTTTGGGATTAGGAAATATACCTTAAAAGGGAAGATAGTTGAAATTTTAAAGCATGAGAATAAAAAACAGCCTGAGGTAAAGTATAAGTAGGGCTTACAATGTCAAGTAAGAATTGATACAAGTTAAGATAGAGAGGGGCCACACTGAAAGGGTTTATCCTTAATTTCTCAGGTAGTGGGGAGCTTTGACGCTTTGTTTTCTTTTTTTTAGGTAGGGGAGAAACTTATATAGATTAGATTTATAGCTCTATCAATATTATATAGATTAGATTTATAGCTCTATGAATATTATACAGATTAGATTTATAGCTCTATGAATATCGGTTGTTAGCCAGGCATGTTGGTACAAACCTGTAATCCCCACTACTTGAGAGACCAAGGAAAGAAAACCTTAAGTTCTAAGCCAGCTTGTACAATTTAGCAAGATCCTCTCTCAAAACAAAAAATACAAAGGCTAGAGCTATAGCGCAATGCAAAGGCTCTGAATTCAACTCTTGGTACTGCAAAGCCCATCAGACATAAAGTACAGTGTTTCAGTTATCTATGGATACACAACACCACCAGAATGTAGTAGCTAAAATAACATACATAAGCCAGCCAGGAAGGCCTCGGAAGGAAGGTACGCAGCCCTCTATGTACCAGTGGCAGCTCTGCAGGCCAGGGAGAAACAAGAAAGTAGCTACACAGTCCAGTCCGGTCTGTACCCCTCCCCACCGTGCACCAGGGTGGCCTTGCCGGTAGCCAGAGAGCAACAGAAGGAAGTTATGCAGCACCTCCATGAAGGGGTTTAGCTCAGTGGCACAAGTGCCTGCCTGCCTGGCAAGCCCAAGGTCATGAGTTCATCTCCTGGTCCAAACAAAACAAACAAACAAAAACCCGCACACATTGTTATCTTGGAATTTATGCGGTCCAGGAACCTCTGGGCACTGTGGCTCAAGGATCTGTCACAAGGCAGCAATCAAGCTGTCACTGAGGGCTGCAGCTACTGCCAGGCTCATTTCAGGGAGAATCCGCTTCCAAGCTCAGTGGTTGCTGGAAGTAAGTATTCTGTTCTTCCTAACATTTAGACTGATGGTCTGCCTCCTTTCTGGAAACATCGTATGTCTTGCCCCATGGGCCTCTCTTGGAAGTGACACCTCATCCCTTATTGTCATAACTGCCTCACTTGTGTCAAACTCCTAGTACCTGCTTACCCCACCCACACAATCAAGGGGAGAGGTCTAGACAGGGACAGGAATACTGGACTTGTAAATATAATCTTAGAAACTAATGAGTACTTGGAGGGTATTGTAATAATCACAGAGGAAGACATGGAGATTACTGTGGACACATGGAATGAAGGAGTTACGAAATATTCAGGATATAAAGTCATGAGCTGCTGATAGTTTAGAACATGGGGTCATAAAGGACAGTAAGTTAAGAGTGACATCTACTGGTTCTTGGCTCTCACTCACTATTTAAGGATATCCTCATTTGAATATTATGGAAGCTCTTGTCCACACTGAGCTTTTCATCGTCTTGTTGCCCTACCTTATTTTTAGTAATCTAGGTGTGTCCTCACATCTTGTCTTTCATTTTACCTAGCTAGACACCAGTTTTTTCTCTATTTAATTCTTTTTTTGTTTCTGCTATACTCATTCTTATCCATATGTTTGTCACTCTTTACTCAGAGTATAAGAATGGACCTCCAATCCTTTTCCTGTGTCCTTTCTTTTCTTTAATCCAGATTCTAAAATACATGACAGCTATTTATCAGTCAGTCAGTCAGTCAAAAGTTACCAGGCAACTTCTTTGTGACCAGCACTTGTTAGGCCTCTGTGGGAGCATGATGGTAAGACAAGCATTCTTCTGTTTCCTTTGGTCTTCATTAGTATCTTCTCTCTGCTATCTGTCAGAAATCGCACTAACCCTTAAGATACACTTCAGCTCCTATTGTTCTTTGAGATGTTTCTTTAGATATATGTGTCATTTCCTATAGCAGTTATCAAAGGAATTTTACGTTAGACATTTGCGATTCTTTAAGTTTCAAAGTGAGCACTGGCTTAAGCATTAAACATGACTTCCCGCCTTCTGCCTTCTCTGCGTACTTCAAGCAACAGAACAGCATGTTATGACCCTGACTCACTGGATCATGGAGTTTTATAAGCAGGTGCCTAGGCCTTCCCTTAAAGATTCTGACTGAATGTATCAAAGGCAAACAGCAAATCTACCATGAATTTATGGAGGAAATTCATGCAAATTTATGGAGGAAATTCCTTTATCAAGGACATGGATTAAACATCCAGGCAGTTTTATCTATTTTACCATATTCCTTATTCAGTTAAGGAAAAGTCATCAAATTATATGGAATACCACAACACAGTATATTTGAAAATAAAAATGCACATAATTTTTTTCTATACTAAAATAGGCAATATCACCAAACAAAACGTAAGATATACTTGGAAAGGCACCAGTTTACTCTATCACTAGGTTAGGTAATACCACAAATGAACTGTAATAAACAATCAGTTCAATGCAAACAATAACTAAACACCTACTAAAACTTTATCATCATTAGAACCAGATGAAAATTTGACACTGGACTTGCCCAGATACAGCTTGCCATGACTGCAGCCCTCTTGAGTTGTAAGTGCCATGATCATCTCAAGTAACCGTAGCTGGTTTTCTTATGGTATCTCAGCAAATCATATAAAGTCATTAGAGTCACATGTGTGGCTTTACAATTGGACTCTGGTTCCAAGGGTGTACCTGACTCTCTGATATAATCTTACTATAAATCAGGTACCTTTCAGCCAGGATGAAGTCACTTCTGTCCTAATCCATAAATAGATCCCCTTTTGACCCAAATTGCCAGGATCTAACTAGTCTTGTTGCCACCTAGGTAGGACCATGCTTATGTCAGTAGGTCCCCCCACACTCTGCAGTCCTACATCTGGATGCTTCCCCCACTCCCATAACACCTGAGGGGGGTCCTCACACACCAGGTCAGTGTTGTTCTGGAATAAGACTCATGGATGTGAGACCTAGAGCACCAGTGAGCTGGTGACAGACACAGCTATTAACCAGGAGACAAAGGAACTAGTAAGACAAAGCTAGTAAGCTAGAGAGAGAGAATAACAGAATCAGTTTTGAAAAGTTCCAGTCAATAACATTTATTATATGCCTATCATGTGCTG